GCATATAACATAATAATGAGAAGTAAACTGTACTCGGAACGTTATGAGTAAACAAATACTACAGTATCACTATTGGTTTCTATCAAATAAAATTTATTCTTTTGTGGGATTGCTATCCATTCGTTTTGTTTCCACAATAAACTACAATCTAATGACATGAAAATAAAATAAATTATGTTTGAAACATTTTCTGTCTCATTCCTTACATCCCGAGTGGAACATAGGTCTTCGAATTCTGAAGTTTCACTAACAGTAGTGTTATTCTTATGAGGTGTTGATGCTGGCCTCACACTCTGCTTCTCTCTTTTGCAGGCTAACCTACATGAAGTTTAGGTGCGTGTCAGTAGGTTATAAATGTAATCCTCCAGCCACACTCCCCCCCCCTACCTGAGTGGCTGGTGAGCATTCCACTACGGAACTAACGATGCATAAATTCAATGTCCAATGTAAAATAACTTCGTATGTTCACTTTTGTGTTTTACATCTGAAATGATCAAAACAATAAAATATTCATTTAATTGAATTTGAGATTTTCTCGTCGATCGATTGGACCGAAGTGCTCGATCTCAGGTTGACATATCAGCTCCTTGTGCACACGTTTCAACGATATCTGGGCATTTAATTAGAATTTAATTGGTGGATGGTGACTAGCAGTGGAATCCAGGATGCCCTGGATGTACCTGCATTTCTCAGTGAGTGATGATGTTCCCATTGAGGCTCGAACCCAGTGCCCATAGTTTTAAACGCCAAAGCGTTATCCACTAGACCACTTGAGCCACGATAGCCATCTCTAGTGCAACGGGTCATATTAATTATTCAATTGAATTTTGGATTTTCCCGTCGATTGATTGGACCGAAGTTATGTTGACTGACGTAATATATATAAATAAATAATATATAATATTATATATATACTGATTAATCGAATGTAACAAACATCATGTTGTTCAGCATACTTTAGTCATTTGTGTGTGACTATGGCTTATTTGAAACAAAAAAGAATTTTTAAAAGATTCCCCTTGAAATGTAATTCATTATTAGCATCACATTTAATTAATCTGAATTAGCTAGGTGTACATGAGTTGCTTGTTTTCTGGTTTATCATAAGACGAATGAATTTTTACTTATGTCAATAATCTTATAATTTCATTAGATAAATCCAGTGTCTGTTGAAATGCACATTTTTTATCACTATATTCATGTGAATATCAGTTTATTTTATCTTCTGTTTCTCTGATCATACTTACTTACTTATTTAGTTACTTATTAAAGTGTTATGTTTAGATAATTGAATTATTCAGTTGATATCAGTTGCCAAGACAGTTATACTTGGCATACATGTTGTTCATATTATTTGTGAGGTCTTATTATTATTATTGATTTTGAACAATGGGTTTTATATTTCTTAGTGAAAAAGAAAAACAGAAGAGTAATTGAAATTTTATTTTAAAATAAATTACAAAGTAGATACCTTTACGAACTGAAATATGAAATGTTCATATGGTTATGTATTCAATAATCAGTAAGATGTTGGTTTAATGAAAAATAATTTATCAATCGTTAATGAAAGGAATCGATGAAGCCAATTAAATGAAATGTGAAGTAAATTACCCAATAACTGACATGTGAAAACCTGTAAGCTATACTAAGAATTTGGTTGAAATCGAAAGTTATGAGCTACTGAATGATAGTTCAGTGTTTTACTAAAAACCTAATGATCCCCCGAGGAATCCACAGATAACTACCTCTGTGATATGATGTAGATTGACGAGAAGCGGCTAAAATTGAAATCAACATTTTAAGTCAATGACTGTAGACGCAGAAGTGCTTATTCCTCAAATTTGGATTGAGTTTACGTCATAGACATGAAATAACCCCAGTGGACAACTCGTATAACTTTAAGTCAGTTAACAACCGATCGGAAGAATTTATTCTCCTCTGACGTAGCCGAACTTTAATGAGGTTTAAGATGCATAAATATGATGTTTTTTGTTTTTATAAATGTCAGTTACGAAGTCTCTTGTCTTCTTCGGTCAAATCCCTACCTTAGGACTGTACAGTTATGAATTACTCATTGATTGTGAATCATCCTTTCGCTTATATCACCTAAAAAGGAAATTTAAGGTGAATGTGTTTTTTTGTCAGCTTATATATAAATTAAAGTGGTTGTTAAGGTTTCTCGATCTTGGATGGTGTAGTTGCCTCTGGACAACTTAACCCTGAAGTTAACGCTAGAGATCTTTTCTAGAAGGACAATAAAATTCTTACAAATAAATTAACTAACTTAGAGAACATAGTGACACATAAAACGTTCAGGCGAAATGAAAATCTTGTTAATTTATTTGCCTCATGTTCTTTTCTTTTATCTTATAATACTTTACTACTATGAGTAGTTAAATTCAAATTCAGTTATCTGAAAAATCCTGCAATTTAGAAATGCTGTTTAACAGCAAAACTGCTTTTAACACATATGTATGCATACTGAGTAGACTTTTTCAAGGTTACTTGCATGATTTAGTTTACTTCAAAATCCCTTTTTATTGTTCTGAAATTCGTTTAACTGATTAGTGTTACAAGTTTAATCATGATCTGACATCAGTTAGAGAACCATGAAGAAAACCTGCACACGTTCACTTGAAAATTAATCGTATACTTGATAGAGACTGGCTCTATACAGGAAGTTACCTGGAGTTCTAGTGAGAAGTCGTGACAAGTGAAGGTTCCACCGAATTCTTTGCTAATGGCTGGTGGTTGCTCTAAATATCACGAATTGGCAAAAGTGGGAATTTGTGCGCCACAGATATGGTCTCAATGGCTGAATGGTCCATGTGATCGCCTTGTAACCGGGGGATCATGGGTTTGAACCTTGATGAGTGCGTGTTGCTAAGAGGTCTCAAGCTAGGACGAGATAGCTGTCCAGTACTTTCTGGTTTTCCACTGGTTCTCTAACTGATATCAGTTCGTGGTCAATCCTGTAACTACTATTTATGGTATTTATTTAAATTCAATGCATTAGTTAGAAGAAATATTTTTATGAAAAATCATCACGCTGATAAATGATAATGATAATTTGCTTTATTCCAAAAACAGTACTAGTGATACAGCAAGGAATTTTCAGCATTCAGTACAATATTGCATCTAATTTACTCAAAAAACGACAAAAAGTATGATAAAAGTAAACATTACATAATAATAATAATAAAACGTTGTTATAGCAGCTACATAGCAAATTACTGTATGCAATACGGAGAAAAATATGCATAAAGTACAAAATTGTAGTAGTAAAAGTAATAACAACTAAAATAAAATAGCAAAGTTATAATTAAACGATAGAAAGTGTGACACCATATAATACAGAAAGATGAACAATCAAAGGGTCGATTCACTGTGCTAATTACATAGTAACTTATGTGTTTCACATCTCAGAGAGTCTTCGTCACATAAAGTACGGGCTAAATAGGGTATTGTAGAATTTCTATACTTAGTGGTACGAGCTTATAACTTTTTATATTGACTTCTTGTCCTACCTGATGAGATACAAGGGGATAGTTGGGAATAAAGGGGTGCAGAGGGTCTGACAATATAGCCTTTGTCCATTTTGTACAGGAATTTATCCCATCAGTATTAAATTCCTTTTACAACCCAGGTTTTTCCTACATCAAATCATCATTAAACTGTATCAACATCGTTCTACAGAACAGATGTCTCACAGACATAAATGCCATTTTGTACTTTTATTCCACGGTAGCCTAGCAGAATTCCTTTTCCATCTTATTTGAGACTGATAAAGTGAAAATATCTTCATCCTAGAAATTCATAGTGCCCCTAATCAGACTGAAACTAAGCTCTAACTGCTTCAAGCTCCAGTAAAACCAAACGAGAAGAAATTCATAGGTTTTTTTTTCAATGCAAATAGCTCCTATTTAATCCGTCCAAGTATTAATAAGTTTTATTTCCAAATTGTGAATTTGTTTTTACGAGTTTGACCACGGATCGATATCAGTTAGCGAACCATTGAAATGAAATGAACCATTGGATGGCTGTTTCATCTTAGTGCTCCTTGGTTTCCAATGATTCTCTAACTGTTATCAATCGGTGGTCAAACTCATAAAAAAAATCTAATCCTTACAAACCAACTCTTGAAAATTGTGACTTTGATTTAGGGTGTTACCAGTTCCTCCAAGTAGCTGAAAATGAGTGAAACAGCTTTCCGGTGTTTACATCACCTCGATCTGGCTACAAGCGCTACTGGTTGATGTAAATGGTATACAACTACTGAATTAAATCAATCAGTAGTATATAGTTTTGCGTATTTATGGTTTCTCCCTTGATTAACATTTCTTGTATCAAGCAGACCACATATTGTGATATGAATAATTTCGGTTTCCACAGGAATCTGTAGTGATATTACACCTCCTCATACTGTGTAATATGCAGACTGTAAATTTAATTTGTGGATGGTGACTAGCGGTGGAATCCAGAATGCGCATTTCGTCCTATTTAGGACTTGTTAGCTGGGTGGACCTGCATTTTCCAGTGAGTGATGATGTTCCCATCGAGGCTGGAACCCAATGCCCATATTTGCAAACTCCAAAGCGTTATCCACTAGACCACTTGGGCCACGAGAGCCACCTCTTGTGCAGCGAGTCATGTTAATTATTCAATTGAATTTTGGATTTTCCCGTCGATTGATTGGACCGAAGTGCTCGGTCTCAGGCTGACATGTCGGCTTCTTGTGGAATCCAGGATGCGCATCATCACTCACTGAGAAATGCAGGTACATCCATCTGACGAGTCCCAAACAGGATGAAATAGGCATTCTTGATTCCACTGCTAGTCACCATCCACCAATTAAATTCTAATTAAATGCCCAGACATCGTGGAAGTGTCCGCACAAGGAGCCGACATGTCAACCATAGACTGTGAATTTGTTATAAGTATTTTTAATTATTAAGCTGGAGTTTTATTATCATTATTCTTATTCTTTTTCATTTATTTAGGACACAACCAAGTCATTCAGCATCCTAATTCGCCAAACATCTACTCATCAAATATATACGATAACACTGTAACAGGATCATCATACAGAGATGATAAATTGCAAACCACCTATCCAAAGTCCTATCATACGGAATATAGTGGTTATTCACAGCCTCAGGATGGTACATCACTGAGGCCAGAAAATCGTACGCTACACATAAGGGATGAAACAAACCTGAAAAAGCCATATGATATTCATACAGTATATTATAATGAAACTATTTATGACAATGAATTAGATGAATGTAATAAATCCAGTAAATCGTTTCCCCAACCTAAAAATCAACCATCAACAGCAATATCACCATCTTCATCATCAATCTTGGCGAAATCACCATTTATTATAGAAGATCGTTCAAGGCAATGTAATACACGGGGTCATTTATTTCAAGAAAAAGAAGTTTCAACCAATTCAATGCCATTTGTAACAGTAGAAGAAATTACATCTCATCGTAAATATCAATATCAGCATCAAAATCAACCGCATTCTGAAACATTAACTGTGAAACAAGATGATATTCAGCTGGCATCACAGAGAAAAAGTCGTATTCTACAAGGTGATGGAAGTGATTTAAGCTATCCCAATAATGATGATTCTATAAGATATATACCAGGCCCTCTGCTACCTGACATCCAGATGCCACAGAAAACTTATATTGAAAGTCAGTCAGTAACAACAATGCTAGATAAAAATGCTCAAAGTTATAAAGGGAATGAGACGACAGTAACAGACGTAACTGGAATTGGTAATGATGAAGAGACTTACAATTATCATTCATACGAATCTGTAACAGTTAAAGATGAGACACACAAACCAGTAATTAAGCCTGATGAGGCTAATAAAAGTTCCCAGGAAAATTCTTATCCTATATTACCGTCTCCTAATTATAAAACAGAATCAAACTACAATGTAATAAGTGACGAATCTGTTAAAGTAAATGCATCAATGAAAAACCTTCAATCCTCCAGTTATACTCCTTCTACAAAATTAACTCAAAAACCTACTGAATTTGTATATAGACAAAGACAAATGAGTCCAAGTCCACCTAGACATCGACATATGCTTTCTTCGAATTCACTTACATCAAAACCACCATCACAATATATTCAACGAACAAAATGGCATTTAAAACCAATACCAACTGATGAAGAAATACGTGAAAGACTAAGAAGTTCTAGTCGTAAAAGATTTGAAGAACGTAAATCACGTTCAATACAAAATCCACAACCAACAACATATCGTCCACGTAGTTCACGTTCCGATTCACGTTATCGATTTACAGATTTAGATTCTGCTATTGCTGAATCAAAACTTGATACAAATGAAGCAATATTATATCAGGGGAATACAGAAAGTGATTCACATTCAGAAGCAAGACAATCTGCTTCATTATTTGATTTAGATGCACAAATTCATAAATCGTATACACCAATTATACCGAGTTATCAACATCATACTGAAGTTTATAACACGATAAATCAAACAGATCAATTAGCAATGACTAAGTTTCTTGGTGATACAAAATCGTATAGTTCTTTATTAGAAACTGATATTGATACTGGGGAAAATTTTAAACGACCAGTAATCCTTGAAACAGACCTAGATAAGCTGAATACACAAATAAACGATGGTTCATTTGATGCTGCTTTAGTTGATACCTATCAGGATAGAACACGTAGCCTGTATAATCTGACTTTCACACATACACCTGGTGTATTTCGTCGACAAAGATCAAATGATATAAATGGTGATAGTAAAATTCAACCGAATGAAATTGAATTAATTCAGTCGCCTGATGGTCAACAATGGGAAAAGGCTAAAAGTTATCAAGGTCTTACAAATGATAAAAGTGAAAATGACTCCCCGAAACCACAATCACACATACAATTTGAAGTAGTAAAGAGTAAAAGAAAAGCAGCAAACGGTGGTGCACAAGGTTTAATTGATCGTTTAAAAGAGAAAGCCCGTTCAACGCATGAATTACGTGTGGCTCAATCATTAACAAAATTACATATTCCTGAATGGTTGGATAAAGCAAATTGTTTACAAACATCGGATATAATTACACTGACAGCTAAAGAACATTATCCAAATGAATATAGAGCACAAGTGAGACAACCAATTCAAAGATATTATACTAATACAACTTATACACCTCGTACAACAAAATCAGTTCTATCATCACTCAGGTCATTGTCTAGTACTAGTAAACCCGGTGATAATAATAATATTACCTATTCAAGTATAGGCAATACATCATTGTATAAAAAAGTAGAAACAGTAGCTGAACCAGTCTGGCCAAAATCAGACAGTACACATCCACCAAATTTATACGACCAAGTCAATTAATACGACAAAAATCTGCACAAAATAATAATTTACGTCCTATTCAATCAAAATTAAATAATTCAATGCGTTCATTAAGTGCACAAAGATTTAAAACTGATGGACGACAAGAGGATATACGACCACAAGTAGCACCAAGACAAAATCGAACAATTGGACAAGGTAAATTGATTGAATTAAATCCACAAGATTTTATCCCAAAATATGAACAAAGATGGGGTAAAGACAAGGTGAATACAATGCATCGATTTGATAGAGCGACAACTGAACCTTTAGAAATAGAAAAATCCAATCCTGATCAATCACCATATTTAAATTATTCTAAATTAAATAGAGTGGAGTATATTAATACTTCGACTAAAATAAATTTAATATCTTCACCAACTACTGAAAAGCAAATATATGATGCTTATTCAAAGAACACTACATCATTTTCTGATATAAAAGATGCTGATCACGATTCAGGGACAGAAAATTCAAATGAACGTCAAATGTTGTCGCCAGAACATGATATGATAAAAAATAATATCCAACATGAAAATATTACTTCAAATGCAGCAGTTAAATCGAAACACTTTACAAATGATAATCGCAAGGTAGAAGATTCAAATTTAAAGAATGAAATTGAAAGTGAACATCGTCTTAGTTTAGATCATTCTGAAGGCAAAGAATCTTCTGAAATCAAAAATGTACCAGATAAAATTTATGATCATAGTGAATTTCATTCTGTAGACGCTGAAGGTGAAACAGAATCTGAAGTAACCGATGGATTTGATCAAATATCTGATTTAAGTTGTTTAACTTCACTGCTTGATACTTGTTCATCAAGACATCGTAGTCTACTTGCCAACAGACCATCAGCACTTGAACATCTTTTAGTAAGTGTTGGCTGGTGGCCTGTACATCCAGATGCTGAACATCATTATCTTCCTCCGACTGCAGCTGAAGCTATTTCTATAGCAGCGCATGAATTTGATGTTAAAGAAGATTCACATCGTTATGAATACTTTCAACTTATTTCTGGACCACAAAGTTTTAAACCATTAAACTTAGGAGAATTTGGATTGAATCAACTATCTAGTACTATTGTACGTCATCCAGTGGACGGCTTACTGTATATCAGTTGCAGTAAGTCAACATGTTCAACAAAGCCAGTACCAGTGTCTCAAGCCTCTAGATGGTGTGCTTGTGCTAATTGTTTTACACTATATTGTTCAAATAAGTGTAGAGAGGAATGTGAGAAAAATGCTAATGATCACCCTATGAATTGTTCCTTTTCTAGAGCTAAGAGAGTGTGCAACCGTTTATTAAGAAATCTTGCACCTGGTCAAATCACAGGTCTTACTGCACTGGCTAAAACTGGAATGGCACGTCTTGGAAGAGGTGGAATACTCTTACCCTTTGCGCTGATTAGACATGCTGAAATATTTTTACAGCGTTCACTTGAACATTCATTTGTAAATGAACAGTTGAATGATGCATCTATGGAAAAAGCAGTTCAAAAATGGGAGAAATTTCATCAACCAAGCCCTGGAGGTCTAATGGCACCACCAACTTATTTAACACTTAGTGAATTAGAAGAGTTAGACTCAACTATTGTTAATCCTTGCCTATCATATAATCCTGCATCAAGTATGGTATTAATTGTTGTTGTTTGTGCATATGAATTAATTGCTCGATCCGATGGTCGACCAGTACATTTATTTAAGCAAAGTTTAATCCTACCTTTCCCATCGCGTCAAAATGTAAGAAATAAAAATGAAGTGAATGCATCTCAAAATACTCAAGTGGCTGAAAATCCATCACAACCACCATCCTCATCCTCAGCACTTCAAACAAATGGTGCTCCAAATAAATCTAACAAACAAGCAATGGCTGCCAGAGAAGCATACATGCTACGGTTACAACGTATGCTTCGTGAAAGAGGTGTAAGCCTAAGACATCATTATCCTGAAATCTACACAAAAATTGCTCATTTCGTTGAAACTGGTATCCCATTCACTTCAATACGGATAACATTTGATGATTTTCTACTTCAACAACAAGTTAATTGTATTATTCAACCAATGAAAAATTTGTATATAGAACCAGTTAATAAAAATTATGAAGTTGAACAACAAAAAAACCCCATTGAAACAGAAAAAACATCAACTAATTTACAATCAAAACATGTAAAAAATTCAAAATCTTTTGAAAAATCTATAATTAATTGTCAAAGACTAACTGAAACTAATTTCTAGCGAATAACTTCTCTCCTACATTCACCCACCCACCCCCGAAATATATGAATAATTTCATTGTTTAATTTGGTTATTTGTTCCTTTCGTTTTTCTAAGAAAATTTTTTTTTATTTTATGGTATTCTTAACAGTTTTATTGTTTATATAATGATGATTCTTCCCTTCAAACAATCTATTCATCTGTGTAATTATAAGGTCAGCTGACTTAATGCTTCAATGTAGAGTAATAACACTTGTTCAAGGTTCAATATGAATAACATTCACTATTGAATATACAAAAGAACCAAAAAACAAACAAACTGAAAATACAAAAAGTGTATTTAAATCAGACTACTTTACATCTTTTTCTAAAGAATTTTAACTATCAGAGGAGTTCACTAAGTTTTGTTCATGTATTGTTTTACTAAAGTATTATTGGGTCCATCACCCTTTCCCGCGTTTCTCTGTCTCTCTTTCTCTCCCTCCTATTCATTGTTCATATTGTAAGTAATTTCTCTTGATAGTTGAATATGAATAAAGTATTGGTGTTTTTTTATTACTGCCCCATAAGGTTTATTATATAACTAGTGCTTCCACGATAATTAAGTAAGAATTTTAAATGCATATATACATATATTGATGTCATTGGAGCATTCAAATAGGATACATTTGTTTGCCTTTTCAGTTGTCCTCTGATCTATTTTACCCCATTGTTTATTTGTTTGTTTCTTTGTTTGTTTTACCCTATTTTCTAAAATACTTAGTCAATAAAAGTCAAGCAAAATATGTGTATTGTAATGCAATTGTAAATATTATTAATATTCAATATACGCAAATATACTGTTTGTTTCTTTTTTTTGGTTTTTTGCAGTTAAGTACAAGAGTTTACAAGAAGTAAACTACAATTACAATAAACTTTAGTTTTATTCACTTGCTAGTTCTTTCACTTTTTTTAAAAAAAATAAGAGATAATCTATTCTCACAGTTGAAAGAAAACAACTATTTTATCCTTTCGCTTTATACTACTTAAAAATTTGGGCTCAATAGTTTGTTGTTTTTTGGAAAAATGAGGCTTAATTCGTGTAAAATTCGATTCAGTGAAATTGTCTTTTGAATCATTTTCTCTTTGTTCAAGCACTTAAACAGGCCTCTTTTTTCGAATGATTTCTCTTCCCATTTTCTTTTTCTTTCGATTTGTTATTGCATTTTACTCTTGTTTTAATTAAGTTGTGTAATTAATTATATTGATTGATATTTGGTAAAAATGTGGTTATTTGCAAGTTGACATATTACATATGTGTTTATATGTCTCTATAGATTTGTGCATACAACGTGTACTTTATCTCCTACATGTTTCCTTCTTTAGTGTTGCTTCCTTCATCTTCAGGTAGACTACAAATTTGATCATAATCACCTTCAGTTGCACAATTAACCGCAATATTACATACCCACACCGCGACACCAATCTACCCACATACACACACACACACACACACCAATAAACAACGAATAGAAATATAACTTTTTTTCATTCATTCAGTACTCAGAAGGTGTAAGTAAAATGCCTTATGTTGAACAAATTTTTCTTCATCCTAATATCCAACATTATTATTTCAAGGTGAATTTTCAAATGTTTTTTTTATACTATCGGAGCTAATTAATATTAATGATGATAATGACAATAATACTAATACTAATAATAAGAGGTGTTTATCATACCTATAATATACATACAATTAAAGATAATCATCATAAGTTTTACTGCTTTCATAATGATTACTCTTTTTTTTTAAAAAAATCAATAAAAGAATGAATTGTATGACTTTTCACATAATATATCTTCTCACTTGTTCCAGAATATATGAAAGGAAAATTTCTTTGTGTTCTAAGATTTTAGCTTAGTTAAGTTAAGTATGCAGTGACACCTTTTCAATGTTATTCACCTATTACATTTCACTAGGCCATTGATTGACGAGTGAGTTCAATTTAAGTTAATTGGAAATTTTGTATTAAGAAGTTCAGTTGCTCCTTGTTGACAAAAACTTTTTATATTACACTTTCATGTATGAAAAGGAATGAATTGCTTCATATCAAATACTAATGATGACTAAGGTGATGATAGTGGGGGTAAACTGTTGTCTCTTTCAAGATGACTAAACCCATTGGCGAAATGACACAATACAAACAACTGATGAAAGAATGAGATGTGTCCCTTTATGGTTTAAGCAAACTTACAATCAATATTTCCAGTGAATAAATGCGTCATCATCATTCAATAGGACCGTAAGTTTCATCTAGCAAAGAGGACATTATAAGTTTTCAATAAGCATTTGCAATTAATAGTGTTCTCTGAGCGCTGGTTGGTTTAGTTGCGTAGCTTTCGTTGTCCTTCTGGACAACATCTCCCTTCAGCGCAATATTTAGCATAAAGTGAAATGATTTAAATTTCTTCATGAGTTTAAAACAAACAATAAAGGTTAATAAGCAGGATTTAATGAATTCATAAAATATCGGTAGAACTCGTCAGCTGAATACTCTACATATAAACTTTTATTGCTTGTTTTAAATTCGTATCGGGAAATAAATATTTTCAATTCTTTATGAGTGATGTAATTGCGTCTCCTGGTAACCACCTTTACATATGTATTGACCATTTTCTATTGACTCGGATTTTAAACCTTCTGGCACATGATTTACTTCTTATTAGTTGGTATAGCTGGTCTATAGAGAATGGTCAATACATATGTAAGGATAGTTACCGGAGGCGCAATTATATCACTCATGAAGAAATTTAAATCATTTCACTTTATGCTAAACATTGCGCTGAAGGGAGATGTTGTCCAGAAGGACGACGAAAGCTACGCAACTAAACCAACCAGCTCAGGCAATACTATTAATTGCAAATCATCCACCTGAGCTACAAATCTTCTCTATTATTTCAATAAGGATATTTCACAAAGCAAAGATTTAACACTGAGGTTTAAAGACTGTCAGCTTAATCATAACTGAGAAGCTGTCATTAAAAGATTTATGAATTTAAGGAGGAAACCAGTCCTTGATTTGGATCTCTGGATTAAGTAAACGCATGTTGTCGATAGAAGGATTACAAAGAATTATACAGAAAGAGTGATAAATCAACATAAAACAATAATAAAAATAATTTACTTTATTCCAAAAAGGGTACTGATGATACAGTGTGGGATGCTTAGTTTTTAGTAGAGTATTGTAGATAATTTTGCTTAACAACAGCAGAAAATAATACTGCGCGGTATATGTAACGAGGATTGATAATTGCAGATTTTTCAGAAATGTACGAAAAGCGTAAATTAATGACAACAATCTTAACAGCTTAGATTATAAGTTAATAATTGTAGTAGTGTCACAACTGATTACTTATAGAAGAGAATAAAAGAGTCAATTATTTTGTTAATAACGTAGTAAGTTGTAGGTTTCACGCTTAGTAATATGTCTATCACATGGACACGGGCCAAATAGGGTATCGTTGAGGTTATGTGCTTGACTTTACGGGCATATAATCTTATGTAGTGACTCCTAGTCCTACCTAATGCGATTCGAGGAGAGAAAGTTGTGAATAAAGAGGGTGCCAAAAGTCAGAAAGTGAATTTAACTCAGGTGTTTATCGAAAAATATCGTTACAAGCTGACTGATTGGCATACAACTCACCCTACTGATAAGCTTTAATACTCTTCGCGATATGACGTAGTCCTTTTTGAGCAGCTCAGAAAAGACTAAGGGGTTGGGGCAGAAAGGTGAAATAGATTAGATACAAGAGGAGACAAACTGTAAAAGTAGAAGTTGACTGATTCCTGACTGTCTCAACTCCTTTATTCAGTAATTCATACGGAACATTTTCGTCGAAATCAGCAAGATGTGGTATGACTAAGGAAGGTCAGAGGAAACAACTAACCCTGAGTACTTAATGTTTGACTTAGTTTCCACTTCTTTTTTGATTTACAGCTTGATTTCACACTGTATTTTTGGTACAAGTATGGAATTTTCGGCAGGGATATCTGTAGCCCAAATTTTGCAGGCCGACCATAGATATCAGGTGTGCGTCGGCAGGGGATCGAACCTGGGACCATGTGTATGGTCGGCGAGGTCCTGACCACTGTGCCACCGACGCACCGACTTAGTTTCCACTTCAGTGCCCTCTTTGCTGCAAGCATCTTGTCAAGGAACCAGTTAGTTTGATCATGTTTATTCTTGCAGGTAAAGTCAACTTTCTGACACCTGGAGGGTTTTGACGTGACACCATTTAACTGAGACTGCTGGCAGACGTCGAACAAAGAGCTATCAAGTTTGGAACAGTCACATCGTGAAGTGATTCCGATGAGGCAGTCAACTTATTTAATAGAGCTGATTTCTCCCGAAAGAATTTAGTCATATAAGAAGAAGAGAGAGAATTGCACTCTGAGGGACTCCATCTTCAATAAGTAAGACAGAAAAAGACTTGCCTTTCCATACAGTATACTGCAGTCCACGACCCGGTTTGTCTCAAGGAAAGTTAATTTAACACAAGACACCTAGGCACAGAGATAAAAGCGGATTTGTAGTCAAGGAAGGTACGTCAGAAATATTTGACTCCTTTGTTGAAACAGGAAACAATGCCACAACATAAGACACCAGAAGTATCTGAAGTACATCTTCTCTGTTTGTTGAAAATTGTCTAAGGTCATTGAAACGTCTCAAGCGACATTCAAGGTTGAGTAGATGCAAATTTTCCATGAATTCTCCAAAGGCAGAAGTAATTACGATAGGTCCAAATTTAAATTTATACCAGTACACGATTTAGGTACAGGGATAATTTTAATGTTACCCCATGCGACGGGTAGAACGTTACTGGACAAAGAATCGTTGAAAACGTTCGTAAGAGGATAACATACGATATTTACATATCTCCCAAGGATAGGAGCTGGTACACTATGAAGATCAAGTCTTTGGGAAGGTTTTGGGGATTTTATATATCTAAGAACACCAAGATTGTTAAAACCATGGGGAACA